AGCACAGGTGCTGGCAGAGGCTCTCACACTCACCGTAGCAGAGAGGTCCTCCACGAGGCAATTTCCTGCCATCACAAAAAAGAGGATCCCACCCCAATACTGCACACCTAGCACAGACGTGCTCTGCCTACGTTTTCAGACATAAGCTTCAGTTCACAAGAAATACACTGCTGAGCACAGCCAGAGCACCTGACACAGATGGAGTGTGTGGGATTCGGGCTGCTGCCTGCCGTGCCACGGGAAAGAAACAGTGCTGTGACAGATGGCAGAGGGCACTGGGATAAACTGGGACAGCAGGAGACCACAGAGCATCCGTATTTGAGGATCCTGAGAACAAGAGGACACCCATCTGCCAGGAACAGCAAAGCAGTGTTGCTCTCTGGTGGGAGAGTCCCAGCCACTCAGCCCTGCATGGCCAAACCTCACCTGAGACCCTGGGGCGTTCTTTAGGGCTGTGCTCAGACACCAAGTTTCCTTCACCAGCGCTGGGGACGATTATCACCATTCAGTTTGCCCAGAGAAGTGCAGGTGCCCCATCCCTGGAGGTGCCCAAGGCCAGGCTGGATGTGGCCCTGGGCAGCCTAATGTCGTGGGTGGCCATCAACCCACGGCAGGGGCTGGAACTTGGTGATCTTTGAGGCCCCTTTCAACACAGATCATTCCCTGATTCAGAGTCACTCACAGTCAGTGAGAGGTGCTGCTGGCGAGGGCTGGAGTGGTTATTGATTTCCTACGTGACCTTGGGTAAGTCACTTAACCTCAGTTTCCTCATCTGTATATTGGGAATTATGAGACTTGCAGAGTGCCACAAATTCATCATAGGGAACTACTTAAGAGCCCTATTATGAGTTAATGGGATTTCCCACTTCAGAATTACTCCTCTGAGGATCGAAGCAGTTGGACTGGGATATTCATAATCCTGATTCCTACTGTGCGTGCAAAGCTTTTTCTTCTACAGTTTTTCCTCCTAAAATCACCCATGTAAATCATCTAGCTCAGAGCACACAGTCTAAGCATGTCCAGGTTCAAGGCTCTTTACAAACACTTGGTTAAATGACTTTGGCCTTGTCAGTCATCCACGCTAACAAGTCCCTCTCCTCGCCCGATGCACGTGGCTTCCAGCATACGGAGTTTCACACCGTGTGCTGTTACGGTGAGAAGCTCAGCTGGGCTCTCAGAGCATGAAGTCTGTTCAAATTAAGCTGCAAACTGTCACAGAACGGCTCCCTGGAAGAAGTAAAAACCCAAAGGATCATAGTAAAAACTAAAGGCAGTTACAGCGCCTTGGAATCTCAAGAAGGTTCGGTCGAAGGGCCTGTTGCTCAAGTGCAATCCCACAACCACAGCACAGTTGCAGCCCCTTTATTCCCTCCACGCTGTGCTGCATGCTACTGCCTGGCATAAAATAGGCATTGAAGTTTCCCAAGAACAAGCAGCGCATTGATTTGCAAAGCAATTCAAGATATCTAGAGGATGAAACGGGCGAGCGTGGCGAGAAGCTTAAAACAAAAGGCTTCTCTACGGTGGGTATTTTTCCAAGGAAGTAAAGATAGAAACATACAGCGTTGGTGCCTCGGTACAAGCAGCGCTTTATAGGCCTGCTCACACCCCGATGCACACAGACAGACACGGCCCTTCAAGACCACGGGGTGAAATCTAAAGAGCGTTCCTATGCTAACTTGTTCTTCCACGGGGAATTAAAGCACTTCCGAGGCTGAGGAATACCTCTGCCCCGTCACACTCCCTCGCTCTTTCCTCACTCTTCCCCTCATCCTCCGCACAGTCACTTGGCATTTATTCTCTCCTATTTTATTTGGATTTTCTCTGAGCTGAGTCATTAATCTTCCCCACAGATGCACAGCTCTGACAGCTGGGGTCTTGACACCTCCAGTGCCAGCGAAGGACATTCTCATACTCCACTCTCTCTTTTTTTTTTTTCTCCTCCCTTTCTCCTTTTAAAGAAGCCCTTCATCCCTCCCCAGCCACGGCGTTTTGATGAGAAGGCCAGGCAGACCGAGGTCATGCGAACTGGAGGCGAGGGGCTGTGGGGGAGGAAGGCAAGGGAAGAGGATGCAGCTCCCACAAGGAACTCCCGGGTCCCACTGAAAAGGTCAGCGTGCTTTTGAGTCGTCTGCACTGCTCCCTGACACAAGAAAATATACTCAGCCCAGAGCAGAGATACTTGATAAAGAGTCTAATGAAGTGGAAAGTGTGTTGCACGAAAAGAATAGGCCTCTCTCATCCTGACATCCCATGATGCTCCTTCGAGTTGCTATGGAGACTTGAAAGAGAAGGGGGTTTTGTTGTCTTGAAGTGCCTTCTCCCATCCCAGTAACCTTGACCTTTTCCAGGTTTGTGTGTGCATGTATTTTAAGAAAGAAGAAGAAAAAAAAAAAAAAGAGATAAGGAATTCCATTTCTTCTTATCTGGTCATGGCTCGCTGGCTGGCACTGATGCATGTGGGGGGCCATCAGCCTGTCTTGGTGTGTAGATTTGGAGAGGATAAGAGCAAGAAAATGCAGAGGGGAACAGTTAATTAAGGCTGATATTGCAAAGGACCTTGCTTGCTGAATAATGAATTCCATATGCTTCAGAAACACAAGTGCAATTAAAGGTGTGAGAGACAAAGGGCAGGAGAGGAGTGATGGGTCATATATTACCATAGAAAACAGCCCCACTGGCCCTGCTAAGCTAGGGGTTCAAAAGAGAAAAAAAAAGGAACCGTGTATCACAACCAGAGATAATTTCTCATAAATGAGCCTGAGGTGCTGCTGCCAGTTTCCACAGGTGAAGAAGGGTTATCTGCAGTTGACAGCCATTAGAGAGTGATGGGAGAGTCATTTAGACAGGTTGAAAGCAGTTCTCTTTATGTGATACCCAGCTCAAGATGAATATGGAGCTAAGCAGTCAGGTTAATGCAGGGCTATGCTGAGGGTGAGATGTCTGTGTTCTTTCCCTACTCCCTACCCGAAGAATCACAGAACGGCCTGGGTTGAAAAGGACCACAGTGCTCATCTCATTCCAACCCCCTGCTGTGTGCAGGTCACCAACCAGCAGCCCAGGCTGCCCAGAGCCACATCCAGCCTGGCCTTGAATGCCTGCAGGGTTGGGGCATCCACAGCCTCCTTGGGCAACCTGTTCCACCACCCTCTGTGTGAATGTGTTGCACTTCTATCCCACCATACAAACATAAAGAGCCCTGAAATTGCTGTGAAAGGAAGGAAAACAAGAAGCTGCCTACCTGTTGTTGGAAGCCAGTTCTACAGTTAGGAAGAGATGTTCAGAGGTGGGTTTGTCACCAGGAGGCCAGAATGTGCCCAACCATTGCACCTCAACATGCCTGTCCCCCAAAAGACATACTCCCTGCTCCATATTATCTTGTGGGATGAAAGCACTCAGCTGCTTAAGAGAATTGTTGTATCTTAGGAGAATGGAGTCTTTAATTGCAACAGAAGAAGAAAACATCCAATGAAGTCTATCTATCCAAGAACACAGCCACCTTCAGGAGTAAGACCTGGGTTTGGACAGTGTTGCTCTTTAACAACTGAGGATCATTCATGCCAAGCAAGAAAATCAGAATTTGATACCACTGAGCACCTGGTTTGCTCACACCGTAGACTAATGAGAATCTGATGTCTGAGAGATCTTTGCACACCTCTGTCCACGAGGGATTTAGCCTCCCTGACCCTAAGGGGATCTAGGATAAGGTTTATAGTCTCCACTAACCCCGAAATTGATTCCTTACCTTGCTGAAGCTTGGGCCAGCACTGTGCTAATCTAAAGGATAAGCGATCTTGCCAGCTGTCTGTTCTCCACCCTCCAGGCCTGGGTAAGCTTTCTCAGCTTCAGACTCGCTCCAAGCAACTTTATGGCACTTGCTGGTCCTGACAGCTTGCCACATTACCGCTCCAAGTGAGAAGAGAGTACAGAAAAAAAAAATCATAACAAAATTATTGGAAAATATTTCTCTTTCAGCTGAGAGTGCTGTTGATACGATCGCCTTTTCATTTTCTGTGAGAGTATGTGCACTCGTATGCATGCATTTCCCCCATCCCATCTCTCAAGCTTATGATGTGAGCAATCACGCAGGCTTGCTTGTCCATTCCCAGCCCGACAAACCATTTCCAATAAGATCCATCTCCTCCAGCTCAAGGCTGTATTGTCTTCATATCCTTGGAGATCAGATGTCTGTTCTCCTTTTTATCACTTGAGCTGCACGTGTTTTGATTGTAAACACCCTGATAACACTCCTGTTAGCCCCTCACAAGTGAAATAATAAAGGATAGATAACATTTCTAGACGTGATACTTATACTGTCATCCTACACTGAGATAACAAGGAGCAGACAGCCTGTGAGTCTGTCTTATTCCGATAAGCATCTTGTCACCATAGATACTAAAGAGATAAACTTTCTAAAATAATATCCCTGTTCATGTCACTTTGCTCAAGTTGGATAACGGATGGTGCAATTCCTCTCCCTCCCCACTCTAACTGCATTTATGGTTTCTCCCATTCACACCACCAGTGCCCCTCGCTGTGCACAGGGCCAGCACAGCAAATGAACCACATTTCCCACCCAGGTGAGAGCAGCTGGTAGGTGCCATCTTGTAGGACGACGTTTTGTGGACACCCTGAGGAAGCAGCAGAGCTCCAAGCACGCTGCCTGGCAAGCTAAAGAGCACATCTTTGCTTGTAAAGGGATGCTACTCTTCGCAGCACAGCCTATCTGCTACATCTCTCTGCACACAAAACCCTTCTGACAGAAGCGGAGGGGCCCATTACAGCAGCAAAACCAGGATGGGATGCCCTAGTTGTAGTCAGTGCACTTCTGTCCCTTTGTTCTCTGAGGAGAGAGGTGAAGGATTGCATTACTCAGCCAGGCTGCAGCTCGGTGGAGTCAGTTCACACTGTTGAACACATGCTTTCTCCCAGAGAAAAGGCCATGTGGAACAGTACAGACCTCGCAGGCAGGGACAGGAACAAACTGCGATGCCTTACCCCAGGAGCCTCCCCTCACCACACAGCACCAATGAGAACAGGAGAGAGAAGGGTGTGAAGGTCAGAACCCGCATCCTGCAGCCTTGCTCTGACAGCCCTGGGGAAAAAAAAAGAGATAAAACCTATGTGAATGTATTGCTCTTTCAGGACACATCAAAGCTCTCTTGCCAGGAGGTTCCTCATGCTACTCAATCTGTCCAACATTTCTCAACAGCATGAACTCTTCCAGTATCTCCCCATGGGATGATTTAGGGGCCTTGATGTGGTGATGACAACAGTGCTATACCCTTTCCCCTTGATTCTGATGTCTGAAAAAGATAATCCTGCTCAGGAACAGAGCACTGAAGCAGGTGCCAACATTCAGAGCCTGTCTTTATCCATGGTAACTACAAGAGATGCTTGACATTTCTATGTTGAAGCATTTCTTAAATGAAAAATGGCTTTGCAATCAAAATGAATACGTGTACAGAAAATCTCCAATTTGGTTGAAAGTTGCCAGGCTTATAAATTGGAAGCTGAATGTTTCTCTAATAAAATAAAACACAATAAAATTACAAGTTACCCAAGAAATACACCCAGCCACTGAAAACCACTATAACACATGAGACTTGTTATTGTTGGTTGTTGTTGTTGTTGTTTGTCTGGATACCTTCAGGAAGGTATTTTTGCTCTTAATAACACTCTCCTAGGTATTTAGAAGTATCAAAATGAAATGTTTTTAAATGGACTTTTTCATCTGAAAGTACAAAGTGAAGCACCTGGCAGTCATCTACCACACCAAGCTGTCGTCTTGCAAATGGTAACCACAAAAGCAGATGACATTTTGGTCGTGACCATTTTGTATGGTTTCCATATCATAAAAAAAAACACAAGAATTTATTCTCCTCATGATAAGTATTGACCCTGACTTGCTTCACTGCATATTTACCTCTTGGGTCAATAAATCATCTTGTTAGTCTCAATAGAAGTCAGTATCTGCTTATTATTACATTAACCTTTACGAGGCAGATAACAGTTGTTTTTCCCTATAATAGGATATCGCACAAATTGGATAAGTAAGAAAGATTTATTTGCAATATAATCTTTGGACTACAAACCTTTTTGCTCAATCTGAGGCCCACAAAACGAAACATGTTCGATGCACCACATGGAGCAGCCTTTCCCTTACATCTGGCTTTCGGAGGGTGTACGAAGGGTCCTGGACCAAGTCCTGGGACATCTGGGAGATCTGCACGTGCAGTGCTTATCTTCTGGCCAATGAGATGGAGCTGCTGCATTGCTTGGCTCTTGTAGGATCAAACTTTTGTCCTGGCCAGGTGTTTGCATTAAGCCTAAGGAAAGAACACATCACAAGGGACAGGGAAACCCAGCCAAGATTGAGGAAGAAAACAGATATGTGAGCTTCATAAAATCATAGAACGGTTTGGGTTGGAAGGTTAAGATCACCTGGTTCCACAATGCCCTGCTCTAGGCAGGGATACCTCCTTCTAGCCCAGGTTGCTTACAGCCCCATCCAGCCTAGCCTTGAAGTTTGTGAGGCTCGGCAGAAGAAAGGATAAACAGAAGGAAAGAAGCCTGACAAGAAAAAGTGAATCTTCATTCACACACGTGCTGATGCTGAGCCTGGCCTCCATTCACCAACATGCAGGCACAGTTTGGAAAGAGAAGATAGCTGGTGAGGCAGGCCCTCCTGTCACCAGCCTTTGCAGATGAAAGACAACGTGGCACTTCTTCAAAAGTACAGAAGACAACCTTGACGTTCTGGCAAATTCATCCCTTCAATAAAAATAAATTATTTCCAAGACTGCATGTGAGATACAGCTACGCATATGGCTGGCACGTTTTCCTACACATTGCTTGAACTCCCTTCGTAAAGCACTTTGAGATACAGCTCCTCAACTATTAAAGTTATGATATAAAATATAATTCTCCTTCATGCTGTAAGCTCAAAATCTCCTTTAAATATGATATATGCTCTTCTCTCCTTAGAATCTAGATTTTAACTGTGCTTCCTTCGCACAAAAGCGTTGTCCACGGATGCCATCCAGACTTGATGTACAGTGGAAACTAAATGCTGCCCAAATATTTCATTAACCTGCTACCATGAGCACATCTGCACAGTGAGGGGTGGGGAGTGCCAGCAGCAAGACAGCACTAAAGGGAAAGTGAGCTTTATGCAGGAGAACAGATCAACTGAGAAGGATATCGGGACAGAGGGCAAAGGAGAAAAGAAACAGTCCAAAGTCATATCTGTAATCTGTATAAAACAACACTGCCGTTTGCTGATTTACTGTGGATCCAAATGCGGTCCCAAACATCCCTCTGTTTATAAACACTAATTTCCAAAGGCTTCTGAGCTGCTGAACAAAAACAAACTCCAGCCATGATATGTGATAAACAGGAAACAAGCCAGAGTAAATATTGCAGTGGGAACAAAGCCTGGGCGAGCAAATACAGAACCACAAGGGATAGACACCACACAAAACACGAGGGAAGCACAGCCTTGTGCATGCTCTGAATTCCTAGTGTCAAGCAAAGGAGGAAGAACTCCTCAGCTGTAGCCTCAAGGGCTTCAACATTTGGTTTTCCAGCATGGAGAGCCAAGTTTTCCAAGCCAAGTTTTACAGCAATATAGAAATCCACTGGAAAGGCTCCGGGCTTTGCCAGAGGGGGTTGTCACCTTCAGCAGCAGAACTGCAATGCCAGGCACTTGGGCTAGATGGCTTCTGCCCATCCTAAAATCCAGACAGATGCTGGAGCTCTGGCAGCAAATGGCAGCTCTGGAGAAGAGTCAGACAAGAAGAAACTGTTCCCCTTCTCACATGTTAGGCAAATGCCTGGCTTTGGAGAAAACCCACTGCACCCAAGAAACCCAGGTAATCCAGCTATGAAAACAGAGGAAAACTCTTCCAGAATGGTTCTAAAGGGTGAAGTGTGTCTGCTTCTCTCCACCAGGAAAAGACTGTGGCCAACTCAGTTAATCCAAGAACAACTCAAACACCACCAACATGATCATAGAATGGCTTTAGGTTGGAGAGGATCTTAAAGATCACCTAGTTCCAATCCACTTGCTATGGGCTGGGTTGCCACCCACTAGATCAGGCTGCCCAGGATCCCATCCATCCTGGCCCTGAATGCCTCCAGCCACAGCCTGCACCAAGGCTTCACCACCCTCTGAGTAAAATAATTCTTCCTAACATCTAACCTAAATCTCCTCTCTTTTAATTTAAAGCCTCCCACTCGCATCCTGTCACTACCAGATCGTGTAAAAAAGTCAGTCCTCCTGATTGTAAGCTCTCTTCACTACTGGAAGGCCACAGTGAGGTCTTCCCAGAGCCTTCTTTTCCCAGTTCCCTCAGCCTATCTTCATAGGAGAGGTGCTCCAGCCCTCTGACCACCCCCCTGTAACAGGAAGGCAGTGGCAGGGCAGCACATGCACTGCAGTGCAAACACGGCATGGGAGGGGTCTACATCCAGTCCAAAAACTTTTGCCTTTTTCTCGTTTTTCATGGGATGGAATTGAGGATCTTCCTGCCACTCTTACAAAAGGGCAGAAACAATAACCTTTGCAATTAGTACTTGGCAGAACAAGCTCCTGCCTGCAATAAATTAACGGAACCAATCAGGGAGGAGGCAGAAAGAATCAGATGCCAGAAGGTAAATCCTGCCTGTGCCAGCTTATGAGCGAAGGGAGCTCGGTCACGTTGGGATATCCTGATGGGTCTGAGGAGGGCCAGGCTGAGGAATTGAGGTGCCCAAGCCTCGTCCAGCCAAGGGAGAGCAGGAAAGCCAGGGCACACTTCTTTCTGAGCCTGTTTGTAGGAAATACAGCCTTTCTCTTATCTCATCACACCCTGAGAGGGCCCAGCAAGACACGAGGTGGTCAGAGAGCAGTTCCCTCACGAAAGGAAGCTCTCCTGTGGGATGAGATGGGTGAAAAGCACCGTGCTATAACCCCTGCTCCTTGCTTTGCTTGCTCAATGGCCTTCAGTTCCTGCACTCTGCACCTCCTGTCAGCGCCCCAGCTATCGCCCTAACTGCACAGCCTATTCTCTGTGGTTGGGATACAGCAGAGAAATGCTGCTTGTCCCCACCAACCCCTCCCTGCCTACCCCATCTCGGAGCCAAACCGAGTAGAAAAACCCTATTTCAAGTTTAGGAAGACATTTGATGCAGCAACCCATGAAAGATCATTCTGAGGCGCCCATTCAAATCTGCTTGGACATGAGAGATGCTGTGTGCTTCAGAAAGTGGGTAAGGAACCATAAACCAAGCAAAATGATGAACAGTAGCTTGTCAGCTCGGGGAGATGTACCTGGTGGGGTTCGGCAGAGATCACTGGTAGACCCATCTTTTGTCACCTCTACATTAACGAGCTGGAAAAAGAAGTAAAGAGCAAATAATAGAATTGGCAGACCAAGCTATATTAGGAGGTGTTGCCATCACCAAGGGAAGGACAGGAACATAAAACAAATTAGAAGACAGGTTAGAAATCAGGGTGGAAAATAAAGAACAGGGGAGAAAAATGACCGTCCGGACAGATTTACAAAGGGGATCAAAAGCATTCAAGCAAACAGGAATTCTGCTCTGCAAAGGATTTTGGTATTTCAAACCTGGAGATGCTGCTAAGCAAAACCATTCCCAGAAAAAAAAAAAAAAGTTCTTGGGAAACAACATCCCCTTTGACAATCAAAATGTTTTTAAAAGTAGTCACTTCAAAAAGATAAGTGTAGCCTCCAATATTGCCAGAAAATGAAGGAAAAGAGGAACAACGTGAGTAATACTCAACAGGAAGGTCCTGCAGACAGCTTCAGTATTTACCCCACCTAATTTACCCCTAGGTGAGTCACTCGGGGGGAATGAAGTCCCACTACTCAGCATCCAAAAAGCTGGGGAGGGAGTGCTGGCTTGATTTCCCAGCCTCAGAGTACATCCAACTTTCACCTCCCAGCCTTTTTTCTCAGAAGCTCTTTTTTTTCCTTTAATGCAAGCTATATAAACAGTCAATTCCCAGAAACAGCGCTGTAAGAAAATACTGATTCTCGTAAGAGCCCCCAGCATGCCTATCCAGTCAGCAGCACAGGAAACCTCAAAAGAGCACTGCAGTACATTCAAGCACCCAGAAAAATTCTCCAGCAAAGCCTCCCCCCGAAAAATTTGAAGTAAACCCTGTAACAGCATGAAAAACAACACTGCAGGAAGAGCTCAATGAAGGAAGCAAGCAGATCATACAACGGCTTGGGTTGGAAGGGACCCCAAGGATCCCCAAGTTCCAACCCCCCTGCCACAGCAAGGCCACCAACCTCCAGATCTGACACTAGACCTGGTTGCCCAGGACCCCATCCAATGGCTGGATGATCCAAACGATTGGAAGCATTGCTTTAAAGTCAGACTTAAACCACAGCCCCATAAAGTGCGCTGATAGTTCACTCACAGTTGTATCTGCTACGATTCGCCTGGATGTGGATGCAATAAAAAGAACAGGATTTAAGATGAATAAAACACACACGTGTGGCCAATAGGAGTAGGATGGCTGAAAAAATATACAGCTCCAGTATTTCAGTATTTTAAGTACATACTCAATGTTAGATGGACATAGAGATGCTCAGAAATCTTTGAAGATGACATGATGATCTCTCAGTGTGAAAGATTACTCTACCCAGCAATTTTCTTGTTCTTGCTTGCTTTTTGCTAGTGGATTACAGAGCAAGCACGTTGGACCATAAATGAATACCCAGCCAGTGCTGGCTTCCTCCCAAGCCTTAAATTGTTTATAGCCCATTCGATCTCCGCTTTCAGCCTTGGTTCTGCTAATCAAATCACATCTTATTTCAATAGCTGGACTTTTTTTTTTTTTCCTCCTCCTTTTAAATACCACCTTACCTAATCTGTACAATTTGCATTTCGTCGTGTCTGCACGTGGTATAGAAACCAAGCAAATTGGATTTGATAGAGCGAGGAGTTCTTATCTAATCCACAGCACTTTTTTACTTCACTGTATGTGAAGTGCCTGAAGTTGGGATTTGAGAAAATTGTTTTGGGTCACTTTTTTTGGTTTTTTTTGTTTTTTTACCTCAAGATTTAAGGAAAAAACGTGCAAAGTTATGGCCGTGGGAGAGTTTGAACTTCTATGCTTTCTGCCTTCTCCATTTCGCAAGTGCAGACCCTGCTGCGTCCTTTTTCCTTCCCATAAGAAGCTCTGGGATAGGCATGGAGCTCTGATGGAGCTCTGCAGTGTTTCATTGCTTCTTGCTTCTCAGCTGGCTTTTGCAGCATTCAACTACTGAGATTTCCCATAGGCCCAACAACTGGCACATCGTCCCTGAGGTCA